CCCTACTAAGTCTCGGATTGACAATCATTATTTGAAGAAAATAGAGTTTTGAATAGTAATTTTTAAGAGGATGTATAATTAAAAGTTGAATTTTGTTCTTATTTACTTGTAAAATATATTGTTGTGTGAATACATTATTGAAAATGAATATAGAAAAAACAATTGAAAATAATGATTTGAGAAACAAGGCTAAAGCCGTGACAAAATTGGCTAGGCCGAATTTAATTGCTCGGAAACTTCTCTTTCCTAATTGAAAAAATCGAGTCTTCATAGAAATTAAAATGGTGCTGACATGTAATCATTGTATCACACGTACAATGCCTTGCATCAATCATCTTCAACTTTTAATGACCATGCACAATCCTGCTACTTGTACGATGTTGAGTTATAAAATTGATTTACAAAATAGAGTAATATTATTAATATTCAGTGGAGATGAAAACACAATTTATGTGATATTAAATGATAGGTTAAATGAAATGTTAAATTTTAATTTCACATATCATTTAATGTCACATTAACGCCACATAGACTGTGTTTTCATCTCCAGTGGGGATGAATAGCATTACTGATTTAAAAAATAATTTTTAAAATCAATGACCTAGATCTTGCCATATCATTTTATCGACACACTTTTGTAAACCACATTTGTACAAGTAGCATAATTGCTCTAACGCATAGTCTACGTCCAAATAAAATTATAAGTAACTTATAATTTCGGTACCACGCTAATTTCATGCACACATTCTCTCCATTCTCTAAGAACTTTCCTAGCTGCTGCACTCGTGGAAAAATGCCACCAGTTTCTCTATTAATTTCTAGCTTACACAGAAACTTGAATTCACGTGTGCTCAAAAGATTTCCGAGTTAACTTTCTAGGCGAGGTGGTTCTTCACCAATTTCCTGCAATGGATCGTCGACTCAAGGAGGCAGTTGTAAAGGGCGACGTTTTAGGCTTATGCAGTTTAATGGAAGAGGATGAAAACATCATTAAACAAACAGTCCCAGGATCGATCAACACCGTACTTCACCTGGCTGCAAGATTCGGACACGAGGAATTGGCGTCCGAGATCATAAAATCGTGTCCAGAGATGGTTTCATCGGAGAATGGAGAGCTGGAAACACCATTGCACGAAGCATGCAGAGAAGGGCATTTGGGGATAATCAAACTGTTGCTGGAAAGTGATAATTCGATTGTTTATAAACAGAATTTGCACGAACAAAGCCCCTTTTTCGTAGCTTGTGAGAGGGGGAAGATTAATGCAGTGAAGCACCTGTTGAATTTTCCTCAACTGTTTTTGCTGGAGGTGGATATGTTAACCAGTTCACTTCATGCTGCAGCTTCATCCGGGCATACGGGTAAATTTTTCAACAATTATTCTGTCGAAAATCTTAATCTTTAATGGATAAACAAATTTATTTGGTTAATTTTTGCATATAAGTCGGATTCATTTTTTTCATGGACAAAACTGGTTGATGGCGCCCCTGGTTTTACTCTTTTTTCATTAAGCTCATATTTGGTTTAGAAAAAAAAAAAAAATTGATAAAAATCTATTTTAAAATCAACGGTTAATTTTAATTAAACATTTCAACAAAATACTTCATCAACTTTATTAAGCCTTTGTTTGATCCCCTTTTTAAAACAATACATTTTTTCTCTTTTTTTTCAACTATACATTCTTCGATAAAATAATATTGAACGCAAACTCAAAGTTTTTTCTTATTTTTTAACCACATATTTTTTTTATCAATCTAAAGTTTTAAAATATATTCTAACACCAAAAAATAGGGTTGAAACATGTCCTAAAATATACTGAACTTGTTTGGTAGAGATTAAAATCGAATTAAAATTAAAAATTAGTTGTTATTGTTGACTCTTATCAGACGAGTGAGACCCAATAACAACTATATTTTCAATTTTAATTGGATTAAAATCCAAGCTCACTAAAAAACTAACTTTCAACGAAATTGGATGGGGGCAAAATAAGATAATAGAAAATCCTTATTGACATGACTTGTCTAGTTGGTGCATTGACCCACAAGTCAATAGTAGTTTGCGGATTTGTTGTTTGAATAGGAATTTGTGTGTACCTCATATTGATTTAACTGACCTTATTTTCGCTAGATTCTTTCTACTTTCAATTTTTTGAAGCTTGAACTTTTCTAAATCCATAGACGAGATCGAGTATGTGAATCATATGTCAAACTTTGAATACTTCAATTAAGTGCCATGTTAATTTGAAAACTCGAGTTGGGCGACGAGGCAGTTCAGGATCAACCCGTACCTTAGCTAGCTTCAAAAATCGGTCTTTGCAAGTTTAACAATTTTTTATATATTAATGTGTATTTTTATTTTTATTAAGTCGTTTAAAGTTGGTTTTAAAGACCAAGTTATGATTGTCAAACAATCTAAACTAATTTTAGTGTTTGATGAAAGAATACGTAATATTTGACAGCAGATTTTTAAAAACTTCAAAATGATATCTTCCGCTTTTAATTTCCTCAATTGCTTCATTAATGCACGAATTTCAACCCCACAAAAAAAAATAATTCATTTTATTTTCTCATTTTAATAAATTTAACTTTTTTCTTTTCTAAAATAATTTTGGTGAATATATTTTCGTAAATATTAACCAAAGGCGAAGTA